ACTCAGCTTTGCGGGCATTCTATGAGCAGAGAGAACGTAGCGGTAATGGCTCAAATACTCCAGCTGCGTCCTGCGTGCGGCCGCTGTTATATTCACAAAATCGCTCCACCAAAACAAAGTCATTCGTTTGCGATCGTTTATATCAGCCCATAATCTCTGGTACTTCATGTACTTTTCAGCTGAGTTCATAATCTGTGCCCCGGTGATTTCAAGTCATTGCTGCTGGTTCGGTAGATCCCTTTGGCTGATTAGTTAGAAAGTAGGAAATCTAGGAAACAGGTTTTCTGGAAGACGGAGAAAACATGCAGCATGCAGGAAGGTTAGAGAGAGAAAGGGCCGGAAATTATTCACATAAAATCAAGAAAACAAAGTAGGTAGATTTATCCCCAATACACATTTTTACCAGTGGAAAGCAATAATATATAAGCATTTAATATTTATACATGTGATAGAATCAGATCACCCCATAAGTCAGTCCCACATCCAGGGCCGTATCAAGGCATTTGGGGACCAAGGTAAATATAGGCTTGGAGCCCCCACCACCTCACTCCCTGCTCAGTTAATATAAGATGGCAGCATGCTGAGAGTACAGATTGTTGTTGCTTTTATTTAATAAACAATCATTTTAAAGCACTGTTATTATATCTGACTGTTTTTAACAGCAATCCTAGCTCAGACACCACATCACCTTCCACATACATGTCATGAGCTCACTGAGCGTCACATTACCAGATTCATATTGAAGTTGTATTGGTGAAAGTAACTTAAAGTAATGCAAAAGTAGTGTAATGCCTTACATTTTAAAATAAGTAATATTGTAATGTAATGAATTATTTTAAAATGAGGGTAACAAGTAATAAATGATGCATTACAGTTTTGAAGTAACTTGCCCAACACTGTCCATGACTGCTACACGGGACGGAAGGCAGAATCCAGAGAATGGTCCGAGGTCGAGAATCCAGGTGGTCAGAGGCAGAGAAAACAATCCAGCAGGGAGCAGCACGTGGGTTGGTCAAGGAACAGAAACGAGGTCAGGATCTGTAGTACAAGCAGAGGTTGGAGTGCTGGAGAATTTACTGGTGTGAGCTTTCAGTAAGCTGGCACTAGCTTGGTGTTGGTCCTGGTGTTACATAGAGAGTGTTGCAGGTGGAGCTGATGAGTTAATGCGAGACAGGTGGTTTGGATGAGGTTGATGATGAGCTGGTTGTAGTTGCTGGGGAAACTGGGCGTGGCTGGAGTGGGGGCATGACAGTTTAAGGTTATTAAAGAAATAAAATATAAATTTATCCTGAGGTTTTGGTTTGTGTGGGTTTCAGCACACTATAATTAAAACTGAGGGGCAAAGCCATGTGTGTTGTGTCAGTGCTGATTGAGACAAAGAGTTAAGAAACAAAAAACTGGCTTAAATAACAACATTTTAATCATGCCACAAACGTATTGTTTTACATTCCATTTTAATTCTGCATTCATTAAACTTATTAAACTAATAAAATGTTAATGGCTTTCATTAAAATGATGGACGTGAAATTAATTCATAAATAAAATGATTAAAGTCTAACGTCACATGTTCAAAAGTATCAAATCCAACAACCGTAATCACCAAATTTCATGTTAATGTTGTAGAATAAAAGATTTGCATTAATAACAGGCTGGGTTGAATTAACATAGACCCAATAAAATCTTAACTCGGCAGGTGTCGCTGAAAAATTAGGACAAAATTAAAGTTTCACACCAAAACGTAAAGAAAATCTAAATTAAACTTTAGTCTGCCTGAATGGAGACAACAGGTTTAAAACATCCTTATTTCATGTCAAAAAGTTCATTTCAAGAAAATAGAGTTTTAAAGCCTGAAATGTATGTTTTTCTTTCTCACCTGCTGATTGACTGATTCATCTGTCAGGTTCAGTCTGTCTTTTATTAATTTGGTATGAAAGCTGAACCACGTCATTTCCTCCTTTCACCAAAGAATCTAAGATACTCAATTTTATTTGTAACACTTTGTGTATTTAATTCATCATGCTGCAGTATTTATTCAGTAGATCTGTTCAGAGCGTTTTTTTCTTCCATTTGAAACACACTCTATAAAGCAAAACATACTCACTGACTTTTCTGTTCTGTTGCCTCTTAACTAAAATCCCTCAAACACACTGAGGACTTCTTATGTGAGACAACAGCCTTAAACAAACCTGACTTCTTGACTCTGCACCAAAATGCAGCTGCTGTATGCTGAGAGAGAGAGAGAGAGAGAGAGAGAGAGAGAGAGAGAGAAAGAGAGAGAGAGAGAGAGAGAGAGAGAGAGAGAGAGAGAAAGAGAAAGAGAGAGAGAGAGAGAGAGAGAGGTGGCTGCTTGCCATCTCCCCTGCAGCCCCTCCCTTCTCCAGAATGCTAATGTTGTTTACAGGAGGGTGGCGGAGGGGGAGGAGCCAGGAGGCTGCAGCAGGTGCAGCTGAGGGTCTGAGGACCATTGTGGCTGTTTAAACACTCAGACTGGAGCCAGATAAAGATCTGATGGATGCATCACTTTCACTTGTTGACTCCAGAGACACCCTGGAGTCTGAGGAGCAGCACATTGTTTCATTAGAACTAAAATACTGAAGAAATGTGAACATTTTGGGTTTTCATCAGAGTTCAGTTTGATGCAGCAGGAAGCTGCTTTAAGTGTGATGCCACACATAAGCCCCCACCTTACTAGACACTAGCATGTTAACCAAAAATACATCCCAAAGTCAAAACACACACTAATCTGAACACAAACCGGATTCATTCTGTTCAACAGTTGTGACTCAATATCAGTTTGACCTAGTCAGATGAATTATTTATAATAAGAAAAACATTTAGAGTTGTAACCAAATTGTACAATTTGCATGTATTAAAATTATGTTCCAGACTCTGTTGTTAGCAAAATAAAGTCTGAAAAACTTAAACATTTAATAATGCATGTTGAACCTCTGCAGAGCCCGTGTCTCCATGCTATTTTAGTCTGTTCAACTCAGATCTGTTGGTATTATTTAAGGAGTCCTGATTTCATTTGAAAGATTTTGACTTTAATTAGAAACTTCATATAAAATAAAATAATTTTGAACAGTTGTATTTTTTGTTTTTGGTGTCCTAAATAAAATATAACACAATTCTATAAAAATAGATTTTACCTAAATGTATTGTGTGATATAACTTTTATGATAAGTTTGTCACTTCAACTGTGTTTTTTGCAGCTTTAACTTTGGACTCTGGTCAGTTTAAACATGTTTTGGGTAGAAATCCTGATCCTGCTGATTTTCAACAGTCTTGGGTTGGCTAGGTCTCAGTTTGGCCTGATTTGAAGCTTTTCTTCTGACTTGGAACCTGTAAAGAGGTTTGAGTGAAGTAGATCCAAATCTGACGTTTAACAAAATAATACGCACCAATAACTCAGCAGCCAAAAAAAAAAAAAAAAACCCTTGAAAGTTTTTTAAAAAAAAACTCTGTTTTCCTAAATATAAATAAAAAACTGAGAGAAAATTATAAATAAGTATAACTCATATAAAAAGAGCACACTGAGGAGTTATTAAGGCATATTATAGGAGATTATTACAATCCCTCCTAAAGTCCCTAAAAAATGAAAAACGTAACATCTGTAAATATTTTTATGATGAAATAACTATTTTCTCCATCTAAAAATAAAAAGCAAACAGAAAATCTTGATTTGCTCCAGCCTTCATTTAGAGAGCGTTACAGTGACCTGAGAGATGAAACTTGTTTTTCAGCACATAAACAAGTTGGTCATTTTCACTATTTCCGACATCAGGAACCACATTTAGCCACAGATGCAAACACAAATGCATCATCTCAACGTTAATGATGAAAACATTTGTGAACATCGCAGGATGAGAGTCGAAAACCATGATAAATAAAGATGAAATCACGTAAATCCCTCATATTTGCTTCTTTAATGGACTGAAGCTGCAAGTCAGACTCCAGGAACCCTGAGAGGAAAAATGTCCACTTGGCTGAGGAGGGTCAGGAATGGAGATGTGAACAACAGAGTAAATATTTGACAGTGGAGAGCTCTTGGAGGTGCGGAGGGCCCACTCTGGCTGAGTTAAATAGATTAAGGAGCTGCTGGCTCATTGTGGGAAGAAAAATTAGCGCTCTTTGGACGTGACTTCTTTGCTTTTGCGTGTTTTCGCTCTCCAATCGAGTGGCCTCTTCAGCAAACCTGCAGCACTGTAATCCGCTGGTGTTTGTCTGCGGGTAAAGGAGGCTCCGCTCGTGTTTGCTGACGCCCGAAGGCGGTTTGGTTTATTTGTTTTATTTATAAAAACAAAACAAAAACACGTGATGGGAGCAGCAGAGGCGATGTGATGCTGCAGGTCGCCTTTTTTTTTTTTTTTTTTTTTTTTTTTTTTTTTTTTTTACAGGATCTGGAGCTCATCAAGTGTGAAATCTAAACGGACTTTAATGCGTCTGGAATCACGCGCGTCATATTGCTGCGGCCTATAGACGGAGACGCGGAGCAGATAGTGGCCCGGGTCCCATTCAGCTCCATTCAGAACCATGACAACACAGAACAAGCTGAGATTTATCCCGCTGAGTTAAAGCACATTGTGTCGGGGCGTCAATCAGCCATTATTACGCCTCTGAACAAATGCAAAATCTTGACTGGAACAAATGCTTCCAACGCGGGGCTACATTTCCCCCTTTGTTCCCCTCCTCTGGTTGGCATGTGTCCCCCCCCCCCCCCCCCCCCCCCCTCTCTCGTACGACCACCCAGGATGACTGTGGAGGCAGATCCACCAGCTCTCTCCTCCCCGGTCCTCATCTCGCTAAGTGGATGAGGGTCCATATCAGTATCAAACCGGAGAGACGTGGCAGCCCCATCACATCAGAACTGATCCACTTTGATGAACAGAGCATATTCCGGCCGGCTCAAAATATATATTTCAAAAGGAAAGTTGGGAAACGTATAAAGCGCTGCGTTTATAAATTATGTGGCCATTGACCAACTAATGAAATCTTGGGAGATCCATCACTGTCAGAAAAGGTGGAGGAGCTCTTAGGGAGGAAAGGAAAGATCGTTTTCTAACCCAGGTTTTTAGGAAAGTGTCGAATAATGAGGAAAATTAAGAGAAAATAATTATTTTTTTAAAGTTAAATATTGATTTAATAATTCGTCCCATAAAGAAAATCTAAATCAAATGAAATCAGGTGCTAATTCGGACAACTTTGGTAAATTTTTACGCATCAGTCCCATTAAAAAGCTTCTTTTTATCACATTAAAGCAACTAATTGGTTATTCGAACCCCAAATAGCAGTTTGTGTTAATGGAAACAGTCTCAGGAATAGAAGATGTTTGTTTTGTTTAAAGACGTGATGTTGCGCCTCATAAAGGTCTGAACTCGTCGCGCATTAGTTAAACCAACTCTCGGGCTAATTGCTCACTTTGTATGCAAATATTGGACACGTTGTTTGGACAAGAGAGGGTGGAGGGAGGGGGTGACGATGGGACAGGCTCTGTTGTCAGTTGCCACCCAAGACGTGATTCAGCTCCAACAATCACCATTATCTGTTCCTCAGCGCGACGCTACGGGACGAATCTGTAATGATGACGAGTGTTTCCTTGGCTCTTTGTCGAGTCCACACCCAGTGATCATTATTCAGGTACCGAACCGAGCGCGAGGCTTTAAAACGCTCAGCTTGGTGCGCGCTGCTGTTTGGACAGCGCGTAAAGAGGAGCGTCTGTTAGAGTTCGCGTTCTTGTTTGCTAAACAAACCCGGAGTGAGTCCAGATGACTGCGCCACCCAGGTTCAGCTTTTCCGTCCGGAGCATCCTGGACCTGCCGGAGCAAGATGCGGAGGCGGCGCCGCGCTCCTCCTCGGTGTTCTCCTCCTGCTCCTCTGGCTCTCCATCCTACAGCCACTGGATCCACTGCGACCAGAGTCCGTGTTTATGTAAGACTAAAATACTAATTTCTCCCAGCAGGTGACATTTCATGTAAGAAATACCGAAAGCTTATTTATTTATTTATTTATTTATTTATTTATTTATTTATTTATTTATTTATTTATTTATTTATTTATTTATTTATAAAACTAAAGCTTTATTTTTCTTCCTGCAGCTTCTGATGAGGGCCAGTTCGGAACCTCTCCGGACTCTACCAAACCGGACGCCTGCCTGGACTCGGAGCCGGAGAGGATCAAGAAGAACAAGAAGCGCCGCGTCTTGTTCTCCAAGGCCCAGACTCTGGAGCTGGAGAGGCGCTTCCGCCAGCAGCGGTACCTGTCCGGTCCGGAGCGAGAGCAGCTTGCCCGAATCCTGAGCCTCACCCCGACGCAGGTGAAGATCTGGTTCCAGAACCACCGCTACAAGATGAAGAGAGGCCGAGCGGAGGGCGCGCATTTGGACGTGGAGATACCGCCGCCTCCGCTGCTGCGCCGGGTCGTTGTTCCGATTCTGGTCCGGGACGGGAAGCCTTTCCATCCCTGTTTACTCGACACAGAGAAGGCTGGTTGCTGTCCTCCCTCTCATGCGCTCCCTTTCCCCCTGGCATTCCCCACCCTCCAGCACCCCTCCAGGTACCAGCAGCACTTCCCGGCTGCGGCGGCCTCCAGGTTCGCCTGGAGGGACTTTTGGAGCGACTCGGTTCCGTTAAGTTCCTTCAAATGAAGCTCTTGTGTAAATAAACATTTAGAATGGCATCAAATGTTTTCTAAATACTTTGAGCTACTTAAACATTTTGATCTGAACACATTTTGCACATTTATGTTGATATTTTATGTGTTTGATGGAGCAGCAAGTTTTAAACCCTTTATTTGTATAAATAACTTTTAGACCCAAACAGAAAAACACTTTAGTCTGTGGAGCAAAATGAATGTAGTTTGTTGTTTTTATGGTTATGTTTTTAAAAGTTTATTTTGTGGAAAATATATGAATAAATCTCATATTTGACTTAAAACGAGTGATGTGCTTAATTTAAGAGTAATTTGATCAGGATGGAGAAGCATGTTCTGATTATTTACCATCTCAAATGTCAACTTTATTTTAAAATCTAACAACACATCCATCCTAGTCTGTTTTTTAAATATGGAACATTGCTGACTTTTCTAAAACCTCGGGAGGCCTTTTGTCATGTGCTTTCTGAACTTGTAAAAGCAGAACAAACGCTTGAGAATGAGATGATTTAGTTAGTAAACATTAGAGGCTGAAGCTGATTTAGATTTTTGAGGAAAGTGTGTGAAAATGTGCATGTGGATCATGAAGTTTTGGCAACAATTAAAATGAGAAATCTTCTTTAGAATAACGTTTATTCTAACATGGGGTACAAAGTGTGCAGAAACAGGTTGAAGGGCCTGAAATATAAAGTATTCCTTAGTTTGTGTGTGTGTGTGTGTGTGTGTGTGTGTGTGTGTGTGTGTGTGTCCTTTCACGCCCCCTCATGATGTTGTTTGCTCGTCCTGTGACCCCGCAGCCCGTCGTCCCTGTCACCTGGCTCTTTGTCCCCCTCCCCGGGGCCACCTTGTCCCACATATGGAGGGGCCCAGCCGAACCCCTCAGCGCGCCGCATCTCCCCTCAAACGCGCAGTTTTGTGCGGGTGTCGCCCCCCCCCCCGCCCCCCCCCACCCTGAATGGACCATTGTCCATCATCCAAAGAGACTGGGACAAAATCTTTAGTGTTTGGATCCTCGTGATGTTTAGTCAGTCCCCGCGACAAATTTATGAGGTTAAACAGCACAATGGTGTTTTAGAGCATCTCGGGGGTTTAAGGGTGACAAAGACGAGCTTTTAGGGGTTGCCCTTGGTTTTTAAAGTTGGGTTGAAGGATTCTGCATAGGATGGGCTCGGACTGGTCTGCACATCATTTACTTTTACTCACAGGGGCCCCTTTCAGGAGAGATGCACATAAACTAGGCCACAGGAGGAGCTCTGGTCCATAAGCAGCAAAAACCTCTTTAATATTAAATTCATGATCATGTTTGCTTTTATCTGACTGAATTTAACCAAATTAGTAACCCCCACCCCCACCCCCCACCCCCCACCCCCATTTGGAAACACGCAGGCTTTAGGTCCTTTTGAGTTAGATAAGAAAACCAAGACCTCTGATAGATTTTATTTAAAAAGCAAAATAAGACTGGAGCACTCAGAGTGACAAACAGCCTTCTTTTTGCTTTTTTCTACCTCATTGTTCTTTGCTGTGGAGCACCAACTGGTGACTGGACTAACAGAGGAACTATGAAGTAATGTTTAATCTAAAACTTTCAATGGAAATTCAATAAAATTAGTGACATTGAGAGGAACAAAAACTAACAAAAAAATTAAAGTTTAATTATCTTCATTTAGCAGCTGGTTAAGAGTTGGGGTAAAAGTTTTAACTCAGCGTCAACGTGCTGTTTCCTTGGTAAGATAGTCTGATTAAGAATAAAAAGCTGCATGTAGTAACAACAATAATAATAACTTATGTAAGGATCTAAACAAATATCTAAATGTAATGATCTCAGCATTAAACACTTGTTTATTTTGTTAAACATTGTATTACAGTCAGTCAAAAATGTAAATTTGTGCTTCTACAACAACAGAAACCTCTCAGCATGTTTTGATCTGCAGTCACCACAACTTTAATTTTCTTAAAGACGAGATAACAGGACATGTCGTTCAAATCCCAAGTTAAACAGGTTTGTAGGATTTTCTTTTTCCACCTTCGGAATATTGCTAAGATTGGAAGCATCCTTTCCAGGAGTGATGCCGAAAAACTAGTTCATGCATTTATTACATCAAGACTGGATTACTGTAATTCATTACTCTCAGGAAGTCCACAGAAGTTAAAAGTCTTCAGCTTGTCCAAAATGCTGCAGCTAGAGTTCTGATGAGAATTAAAAAGAGAGATCATATCTCTCCTGTCTTAGCTTCCCTACAATGGCTACCTGTTAAATTCAGAATAGATTTTAAGATCCTCCTTCTCACATATAAAGCTCTTAATAATCAAGCTCCATCATACATCAGTGGCCCTCTTGTTCCATACGTTCCTAACCGAGCACTTCGCTCTCAGACTGCAGGTTTACTGGTGGTTCCCAGAATATCGAAAAATAGGATGGGAGGTAGATCTTTTAGTTATCAGGCTCCTCTCTTGTGGAACCAGCTTTAGTCCGTGAGGCAGACACCTCGTCTACTTTTAAGACTAGGCTTAAAACATTTTTATTTGATAGGGCCTATGGTTAAAATCTGATGTTAGTCTAAATCTGGACAAGTGGGGGAGTAGAGGGAGGTGGAGTGTACAGTCTGTAAAGACGGCTCTCCCTTGCCCTGCCTCCAACATGCCTACATCTGAATAGGATAGATTATCCAGAGTTATCTCTGTAGTTATGCTGCTATAGGCTTAGACTGCTGGATGATACACTGACCACTTTCCACGCTCGACTACTTTCTTCTACAATTTGCTCTTTAACTGTATTATTTCCTGCTATTTCAGATGTTAACTTTATTTTTTCTCCAAGTGTTTTTCTCCCCAGAAGAAGCTACAGTGATGTTCTGCTGAGCTGTGGTGGCCTCATGGAGAGGGCCATCGGCTTGAACACTGTTGCTAACCACTTAAACATTCTCCCTCTCCTGATAATGACATTTTACTTTCTTTGACATTGAATGTGCTACTACTAGTTTACCCTTTAATTATAGATTCACTAGGATAAATACAATAAAGTTTATCTCTCACCAAATAGAATATTTACTAAGAAATCACAATGTAGCCATAGAAACACTAATTGGTATGTGTGTGTGTGTGTGTGTGTGTGTGTGTGTGTGTGTGTGTGTGTGTGTGTGTGTGTGTGTGTGTGTGTGTGTGTGTGTGTGGTGTGTGTGTGTGTGTGTGTGTGTGTGTGTGTGTGTCTGCTCTGTCTTCTCGATCCCCAATGAGTCGTGGTGGATGGCTGCTTATACTGAGCTAGGATCCTCTGGAGGTTCCTTCCTGTTAAAAGGGAGTTTTCCTCTCCACTGTCACCAAATGCTTGCTTAGGATGAGAATTGCTGTGACTTTACTGAAATTTGCTGGGTTCCTTATATAGGAAACTTTTTACTGATTGGCTTAATGAACTGACCTGTATTGGAATGTGTACTGTGTGATGGGCTTTGAGACAACTCTTGTCAGGATTTGGCGATATATAAATAAACTGAATTGAATTCAATTGATAACTCATACACATATCTATTTTTATTACAATCAAATGTTAATTGAACACACTTAAAAATGGACTTTGAGGAGTTTAATGTGCCAGACCTTCTGTTTAGTGTTGCTGGAGTTGGAATCAACAAGACTCCAAAGTCTGGGTAGAGCCCCAATGTGTCCTGATATCACCTCTACAAATAGCCCACAGGTAACTACAACATGCGCATTTGTTAGCATATTTATAACGTTATTATTATCATTTGAGTAAATGTATAGCATAGGAATAAGATATTACATTTTCTTAAATGTCTCAGTTGTTATTTAGTGTCACGTGTCTCTGGGTATTTTTGTGGCTCAGGATCTCCGCTCTCCACTAGATGGCGCAACAACACTCTGTATCACCATGGAGAACCTCTGATTCTCCTCATGACCCAGGTGGAGGGAGTTTCTGCTCCACAAGAGGCCGTGCTCCCCTGGAGGAATAAATTAAGTTTAAAAAAACTCTTCTATAGCTGCAAAAATTGCCTGGCAACGTCACGTGACGTAAAGCTTCCTGACGCTAAATCCTCGTGTTTAAGTGATGAAGACGTCCACATGCTGGGTTAAAAACCTCATGATTGGTTGTTCAGGGGGACAGATTTGGTGCTAACTGGTTCTGAAACTTGTACACAAAAAATGAGTTATTGTCCTCATGTTTTATTTTGATATTTTTATCGTTATTGTAAAAATCGTTATTGTTTTTTTTAGAAGGGAGATTTTTCTGTGTGAATATGATTTAAGACTTGGAGCTTAATTGGTGGGAAATTTAAGATACTTTATCCAAATTTTGTAAAAAAAATTTTATTTGTGAGATGAACATCTAAACCTTTTGGACCACCACCACCAACAACAACAACAACAAAATCAATAATAATAATAATAATAATAATAATAATAATAATGATGATGAACTGTGTTTGACATTAGGCTCAGAAATCCACATTTTGTATTTTAACATATGAATTATTTCTTTTTATTTTTAAGTTAAGAGCGTCACCCTGACAACCTGACAATAAAAAGATCAAAACATTTTCGTGAATGACATCAAACTTTTATTTATGTTATAATCTGCTGTATTTTATTGGCAGTAACCTCTCCGGGAACGGTTTAGACTCCTGAAAACAGCCTCCCGGTCTAATTGTTCCCGCTTCCGGTGAATTAGATCATGCACCAATCAGTTCCCGAAACCATGCAGCCTGGATCACCGCAGCTCGATTGTTTCATTCCCGCCTCTGTCTTAGTGTTCTCATTATTCTGAGGAATTAGCCGCAACATTTGGACTAATTGGCGCTAATTGGTCCTAATAAGTGTGCGTCGGAGCGGAGGGAAAGGCGCTGATTTAGATGATTAAGGATGTCTTGCTGGATTCTCTAATTAAGGAATGCATATGCGAGATTTAGCTGTGTTTTATTTGCCTTATTGTGATGTGCCCTATACAGATGCTCTGATTGTAACAATGCGTTATCTCATCCGTATGATGATGATGACGATGATGATGATTAAGATGCTTCATTAAAGACGCGTTTGGATGACGAAGATGAGAATTGTTGTGATACTTTATTTATGAACATGCCATCTTTCCAAGGGACAAACTCACTGATCTGCATACTCACAATACCAGATCCCAGTGTGCAGCGCATGCTCGAATAAATCAAAGTTAAGAACCAGCAGTCAAGCAGACCCTGTGTCACTGCTGAGAACTGCTGCCACCAGAAGATTCTGTGATCTCTAACCTGCAACCACAGACCCTGAAAGAGTTTTAAAACCCCAAATATTCTGTTATTGCTTATATTATTATTTCAGTCTCAACGAGTTCATTACTGCCTCAATTCTGTAACTCCTCCGTTTTGTTGTGCCTTCGGATTGTCTATTCTATTCTATTCTATTCTATTCTATTCTATTCTATTCTATTCTATTCAGGTCGTGTCGGTTTAAAGTCGTCGCGTGTTTTCTCACAAGCTTTTCATAAACTATTTGAGTCCTTCTGCCTTCAACAATTTACTGAAAAAATAAAAAAGAGCTTGCAACCCATTATTACTATTATTATTATTATTATTATTATTATTATTATTATTATTATTAATATTATTATTATGATAAAATAGTAATAATAATAATCGCTGCCTTGAATTTTTTTAAATATTTTTTTTAAAATACAAGTGGGCTAATAATAAACATTAGGGTGACCTTAAGGTTTAGGGTACTTTGCTCCCTAAATAAAACTTCCGCATTATAAATAATAATAATAATTTATTAATAATAATAATAATAATAATAATAATAATAATAATAAAGTAAGTTCTTCTGCAGCATTAAGACCCTTTCTCAGGGCTACCTGGCCTCGTGCTCCAGGAGAGGAGCTACTTGAACATCGTTAACTTCACACGAGAGCCTCTCCTGCACCAGACTCGTTTCCCCCTCCTACCTCTTTTCTAGAGCACATCTGAATTTTAGGTAGCATCTCGTCCACTGACATCAAGAAGGAAAATGAAAAGAAAGCAGGGGGGTTAATCATTTACGCAGCACTTAACACGCAGATGTGTATTTATTTACTTATCAGTATCAGTCATTTTCCCTCCCCGCAAGTGCACTTTTGCATGTCTGAGTACGATAAGGCATAACACAAACAATCCTGCAATCACTGGAGGCCTCTCGTGGCCATTAAAAGTCAGTAGTTCAGCTGAGAAGTGGTTCTCCAACTCTCAAGTCCATATAGGCCTCCTTTTCTTCAAGAGGCCCTCGTAAACATCACTACAGTTAATAAAGTGTATTGTGGTCACTGCAGTCCCGAGGTGCAGCGACAAGTCACAAACTCGGCATGCAGCTTCCGCATCAGTCGGGATGAGCATCGGTGTTGGTGGGAGGGGAGGAGAGCACATGTCTACTATAGTGAAATTACGCTCAGAAAAAAAGAAGAAAAAAAGCAGAGTAGAGCTGTTTTGTATTGTTGCTGATGCCCCGCCTCTGATGGTAGCCTTAAACCTGGCACCCGGCTAAAACAAACCAAAGCCAGCACCGAGCTCCCACTCAATCCAATTAAGGCGGACTTGAGGCGCTCTCCTACGTCTTCATCTACCAGGATCGACGTTGAGACAACAGGAACCAGAGGGGCTTTGGCCAAAAAAAAAAAAAAAAAAAAGGGAGAGAGAAGGAGAGATTGCCTTGCCTTCTAATTTCTCCCTCTCCAGCCACAGAACAATGTCGATGAGCCCTAAGCATACGACTCCTTTTTCTGTTTCCGATATCTTGAGTCCCCTTGAGGAGAGCTATAAGAAAGTAAGTATGGAGAATAACAACTTGGGGGCACCTCTCACTTCTTACCGACAGCCGCAGGTCTCTCAGGCGGCGATGCAGCAGCACCACATGGGCCACAACGGGACTGTGTCTGCGGCTTATCACATGACGGCGGCAGGTGTCTCCCAGCTGTCACACACGGCCATGGGCGGCTACTGTAACGGCAACCTGGGCAACATGGGCGACCTGCCGGCGTACCAGGACGGCATGAGGAGCAGCGCCACGGCCACCGGCTGGTACGGAGCCAACCCAGATCCGCGCTTCTCCACCAGTGAGTATCCGGTACCGGTATTTGGACCCTATGCGCTTCAGATCTGTGCGTAATGACCAGAATCCAGATGTGTGCGCCCTGGCTGTGTTTTATTGGAACTATTTCAGGTCTGCTTGTGTGTAAAAACCAGTGTAATTTAGATCCCGGTGCGTTTCACTTATTACAAATCCCAAGGTCTGGGTCAGATTTAAGTCTGAGCGTCAATGGAAGTTATTTAAAATGATTTTTTAATTATTATTATTATTTTTACCATTTTCAAACATTAAACATGATGGGAGGTTATTAGGTCTAACAAATACGCACCTCCCTAAATAACACTTAAGTTTTTGTAATGATGTTCCAAATTATGTTAATGTGAAGTAAACTTGTAATGATTTTACGCAGTAGCTGGTCCATATTTGCTGTGAATAAATCTGAGTTTGATTTCCATTCTGATATTTTCCCCAGTTTCTCGCTTCATGGGCTCATCGTCGGGCATGAACATGGGAAGTATGGGCAGCCTCAGCTCCCTGGCGGACGTGGGTAAAGGCATGGGCTCCCTGTCTAGCACCCCGAGAAGGAAACGGCGCGTGCTCTTCTCCCAGGCGCAGGTGTACGAGCTGGAGCGGCGCTTCAAGCAGCAAAAATACCTGTCGGCGCCGGAGAGGGAGCACCTGGCGAGCATGATCCACCTCACGCCGACCCAGGTGAAAATCTGGTTCCAGAACCATCGGTACAAGATGAAGAGACAGGCTAAAGACAAAGTGTCCCAGCAGCAGATGCAGCAGGACAGCGGCTCGTGCCAGCAGCAGCAGCAGCAGCAGCAGCAGTCCCCACGGAGGGTGGCCGTGCCGGTGCTGGTGAAGGACGGGAAGCCGTGCCAAGGCAGTGGCCACACGCCCACGTCCACAGCGCAAACGCACCACCAGCAGGGAGGCAATGTCATGATCATGTCCAACAACGCCTCTGGCCTCGGGCAGCACCAGAACCAGCAAGTAGGGAGCACGGGTCACTCCCCTGACATGGCACAGCACTCTTCCAGTCCGCCGTCCCTACAGAGTCAGGTGGCCGGCCTCTCCCACCTCAACTCCCCCGGAGCGGAGTACGGTTCGGCCCTGCAGTGTTCGGCCCTGTTGTACGGCAGGACGTGGTGACAAGAGGAGCTCATTTGAATCCAATCTATTTATCTGATAAAACTCGGCAGGTTTTTATTGTAAATGCGCGCGAGTGAACTTAAAAGCCCGAGAGACTTCGGCCCTTTCGAAAGGGGGGAAAAAACTCATTTATCTCCCAAAAACTGCGGATTTATTGGGATTATTTATGTAAATTATATTGAGTCAAAAGAAGATTCAGTAGTCAGATAGCTGGGAACCCGAACCTGAGCAGGGACGCACGAACACGACCGGACTGAAAGGTGCTGTGAAACCCAGACGAACAGGATTTATTAGAATCAGTGTGAGCTGTAGGTCTAGCGTGTATATTTCTGTAAAAGGTTGGAGTTCTAGCTCTTTGTTGTACAAAGCTTTTGACAATATTGCTGGTTTGTTGTCGTTTTATTGGTATTTGTACGTTTTATTTCTTTGTAACTTATATAGATATTTGACTTACTACAAAACAGTCCTATTAATAAATTATGGAAACAAGACATTTAAACTTTTTTGTGAAATATATCCAGAAATGCGCCTGTGACGCAGTTACTAATAATTATTTTGAGGAAGAAACGTATTATTATTATTATTATTATTATTATTATTATTATTATTATTATTATTATTGATGTGGACATGTTTTGTTTTCGTTACAAGAACACATATGAAAGCATAACCGCTGGGATAAACATTAACTTTATCCTTTTCTTTGCTCCTCGCTGATAAATCACCGCTCAGGCTCGCGCCGCGGCTCTAACCTGCCCTGCAGAGCAAACTCGACCTTTATGCGCTTTTATTTACCCTCTGTGTGTTTTCTCCCGCGTGGGTGAGGCAGAAAGGTGAGGTTCCTCCGCGCTTGACATCAAACACCAACGCGGCTCAAAGGGCGGCTTATCGATGACCAAACAGCGCACAATTCCTCTGAAAGGACGCGCGCGGCAGTCAGCGGCTTCATCAATAACCGATTAAATGTGAGGATTTAAAAAACGGCCAATTTAATAATCTGAATGAAAACTGTTTAAATAATATTTAAATGTATTTTATTCTGGTAAATTTGAGGCTATCATTTGTTCCATTTCAGGTTTGGTAAGCAGCGACAGCCTTAAACAAACATTAGACACTATTCTCCTGACATGCGATGGAGTTAGGCATTACATTTTCTAAATAGTAAACAATCAGGTTGCTAAGCAACGGAGTTGTGGACAGGTGATTTTCTTTAGAGAGCGAAAAAGCTGGGGTGGAGAAGATAAAAACACGCAAAAAGAAGTCGCTCAGCTAGAGGAGGATGTTCTATCTCTGTACACACACGGAAGTGTTTTTTTTTCTTTTATTTTGAAACATCGTTCTTCAAATAAACGCGTTCTCCAGTTCGGATAATTTTTCAACATTTCTATTTGAAATGGTTTTTATTAATGTTTTACTAAAATGAAGACGTTTGAGAAGTTCGTTACTATTTTGTTATTACTTCATAATAATACCCCCCCCCCCCAAAAAAAAAAATAAAACCCCAGAAAAAAACACACAAATATTCAATTTTGTCTTCTCAAAGTAAATTTTTTTCTGTCTTTTATTATCCGTTAATTATCGTCGACTGCACCTGACTAAATAATGATCTTTCCTCAGGCTCGTTAGGGTAAATGTTTATTATCTCCTCCGTTTCCTTTCACATCCAGTTATTTTTTATCTTTTTTTGCCAAAGTAATCAGTCATTAATGACAGACTTAATGCTACAGGGTTCAGAGCTGAATAAGACTTTATTTTTTTGATTGACACATTACGTCTTCTGCTTTTGCGCAGGTTTTCCATAAAGCGAAATAAACAATAACCCAGAGGGTTTTAACCCATGCAGTAAAACTCTGAAAATGTAAACTTTTATTTTAAAATCGTGAATCCAAACTTTCGTTGGTTGAGCTCTTCCTCTGCACACACAGACCGAGGCCACAGGAGAAAAAAGCTTTAAGTGAAATCTTAAACAAGCATCAGAAACAACCTTCTATTAGCTATTTTGCAGCGCGGGTTTTGTTCGGCGGAGGAGTGAGAACTTTGGGATTACATTAACATGTCTTTGGCGCGGTGTGTGGTCTTTGTGCGCTGCTTGTTGGAAGCGTGTGTGCTCTCATCGCTCTCCTTTGTAGGAAACCACAGCGCAGCTCCCAGAGTCCTCCTGGCTTTATGGCGGGCTGTCTCCATCAACCCCAAGCAATTAGTCTCTAATCTCAAGGTAATCATATTGGAGTTAGTGACGAGCTGGAGAATTTTATTCGCCTCTTTAGCTCCGGGAATCCCCTGAGTCGCCGAGGAGTGAAGCCTTGTTACGACAGGATTTTGAAGTTTGAGCGGATATTAAATATGAGGAGAGCTAACGAGCAGGATAAACGCAAACAGTAAAACACGATCAGGCTTAAAAAAATAAAATGTTCTTGTTTTTATTCCTTCTTCGAAATAAACTCTCGACTTATTCTAATTCGACTTACTGAATATTACTCAAATTTAACTGGGATCTGCATCTTATTGATCTAAAAGTCCTCCATCGGTCCTAATAAATCCCAAATATCAGACTCGCAACCAAATAAAACGTTATTCTACCTGTGTGTAGTTGGGCACCATCACATTAAGTTCACATTGAATAAAAACAAAAAAAGAAAATTAAAAAGTCACAAAGTCCATCATTTGTTCCTTTTCACACCTAAAAGTAAAGCACGAGCCTGTGTTTGTGGGGTAGGGGAGCTGTCCATGGTGCTGAAAACCCAGTCACTGCTCTCTCCTGTTAAACTACGCGCACGCGCCTGTTTTGTTGCAACAATTTCCTTTTAACTTTGTTTCGGTGTTATAAAAATGATACCCTTCCTTTCTTTTTTGTAAACAAATCCACCTTCTGCCACTTTTTAAAAGTTCCTAAACATTTCATCTCCACAGACCTGCATTTCAAATAGGACTATTACACCGCGAACGCAATCACCCCCTTTGGTGAATGTTATTGTGCGCCTGCAACAAAAATCTTTAATTGTCCTGCGTTTATCTGCTTCTTCAAACCATTGTGCAAAGAGTACAAACGAGGGTCATTTGTGAACTGAAATACTTTGCATGCAAAGCGAAGCACAAGATGCTGTAACACTTGACCTTTCAGCATAATTGTTGCAGGCATGAAATGCTGCATTCAGGGCTCACTGAGTGGATACGTTTCTCCCTCCCTCCCCCTTAGGAACAAAGTGCATTTTTACATCTTCGGTGTTGGTTTGGCTTTGTTTCTTTTGAAGAAACATTTCTCTATGGGACTGGCTGTAATTTCGCTTCATTTTGCTCGGCTCCAATTACGGGATTTTTCAGTCCAACACTTAACAGCCGTCACGTTCAGCCTCCAGAGCCAGATAAGTTAGACACGCTTCTGACGTCAGGTGTCAAACAAAGATGGTGTGATTTGAACTTTTTGGGACATCTATGAAGGAACTGATGAAGAAGAAAAGGAATTAACTCAACATGCAAATCAAGAGCTTTTTGAGTTCAAGCTCTCACAACAAGATATTTTTTAATTAATTTACTTTGTTCATAGAAAATGTGAAGTCTCTTTTTTAGATTTAGAATCAATTAAGTCGAAAAGTTGATTTAGATACAAAAAGTTTGTCAACTACAATGAATGACAGGAATCAGAGCATTTAAAATTAAACACTACTTGTATTTTCTAACACCGTGTTTATATCACTGTAAAAATGCTCATCACCCTTGGCTTTTTTCCATTTGGCACATATATGTTGTGATTATTTTGTTGGAAAGTATCTCAAATTCACGTTATTTCATCTCATGTCCATTTTAAAACCACAGCAAATACCACTAAATGAAGAAGCATTTTACTCAAACCAAAACATAACCGTGCTTCAATTTTTTAAATATATTTAATTATTTGATTCATGTGACTTATCTGTTGTTTGTCATGATGTCATCTGCAAAGAAATTTAGAAAATGTTCTTCATTTTCAGTTATTGCCTTAAATCCAACAAAAGCAACACAAAAATGGGTCCAGGCTAAAAGATCCAAAACAAAAAGAAGCTTTTTCACTACAACTTCATCTGAAGGCTTAAATCAGCTGAAGCAGCTAAAAATAAGTGCTGTTTAAAACATATTAATGCTTTCAGAGAGATATTTCAGTGCCCTATTTATACTGTTGATTTATGGACGCTAATAGAGAAAGTTAAAAAAAATGTAAACAGTTTAAGAAAAACGCACATGTGGATTTAAATCTATGTACAAATCATTTGATCTGAGCAACTTTGTTTCAAACCAACAAATAAAAAATTGGAGAAACAAAAAACATGGTTCAAAGAGGTGGAAATAAACATATTCCTTCCTGACACCATGTCAGTTATTCATGTTTATCTCAAACAATATTAATTACTTTAACTGGTATTAATGGTCTATATTTGCATTTCTACCAAATACTTGCATAGATAGGTCCTATGAACACAAACATAAATCTATCTCTATCTTAATTCACACACGTTTATGCTTCTGTTCCTATCCCCAAACACTTAAATCTATCAAAATTTAACAGTAAACTCACATAATTACTATGTTATAGAATAATGCTGATGTTCTCACAAGCTTACTTTACAGTTTTTCTCAGTTGCTTTGGTGCATTTCTCACAACAGAATTGATCTCTGCACCAATATTAAGGTTTTTCTCAAAACAATTAGTGCAAACTGCAAAACATGGTGGATAACTTGCAAAAGTGAGTCACTTCATCAAAATGAAGTCAGTTGCTCAAAATAAGTAGTCAATGCTTCAAAAGCAAGTCCCTTAATCAAAACAGATAAAATATACATAAAAAGCAAGTACTTATATCAATCAAAGTGTCAGGGCTGTCACAATTACAAGTCATTACACCAGCACCTTTGGTCACAAATTCAAATGGTTTGAACATGTTCTCATCGCGACAGATTTCTTTGTAGGTGCTTCCCAATGACATGTCAAGTCTGGACAGCATGCACGGCGTGTTGAAAACCATAAATTGTAAAGGAAAATCAAGACACTTCATGTGCACTCTTGATAATATTTAACTGAAACTGTTCACAGCATTGTGCAACTGGGGAAATACAGTAAAATAAACATTTTACAGCAAACATAATCTCACTTAGACTGTAAACCTTACTGCAGTAGTTATGAAACAAAAAAAAACTGAACAGGCACTGCTGCATATCAATCATTGATATCTAGACGCTCCCGTCTGTCTGCCCACATATTTTTATCAACATCACAGCGAATGTTAGCTCCATCGATGCATCGGGGAAAGTATCTCCTGGAGTGTCGAATCCACCCTATGCAGGACTCTGCTGTGATGTCATCACAAGCTGCATCCATAGCTGCTAGCAGGGTCATTTGGGCATGTGGATGCCTGTCATATACCTTCCACCTCCAGGAAGAGAAAATCTCCTCAACTGGATTTAGGAATGGAGTGTAAGGAGGAAGAAACTCCATAAGCATCCTGTCGTGTGCTGCAAACCA